CGCTCAACGGTTATTGTTTTATCAACAATACATTGATTATGACCGGCGATATTTTATATTCAGTGACGAGAAAGTCTTTGAAGTTGATTACCACGGCCCTGTTTTACTGGATTCCCTCTGATAGACCGCGACCGACTGCATTTCGTAGCCAAGTTCGGCTTCGGATTGCGTTTTTTGCCGCATTTTGGTATAATGGCCGTTCTAATTTGGTCTTTATTCGTGGCTCGACCAACTCTCGTACTTACGTTCAATATCTACAAGATGCATTTCGATCACGATTGCGCTCATTGCGAAATTAGTTTTTTATTCATGACAGACCAACGTGGGCACACACAGTGGAAGCGCATGACTGGTTAAATGCTCATCATATTGTTTGCGTTGATGACTATCCAGCAGCCAGTCCGGACATCAATGCGATTGAATACGCTTGGTCGTGGATGAATCGATTTGTTCAGGCTCGTCATCCTAATTCCCAGGAATGCCTGGAACAACTGGTCGCTGAGTCGTGGAATCGCATGCCATGTTCAGTTATTTGCGACTACTTGATAACATAAAGAACGTGTGCGATCGAATTGTTCATAATGATGATTGTAAAGACGTGTGCATCTGATTATGAGTTTCTTGGTCATCAGATGTGTAGAACAAAAATGCTTCGAATAAGGATAGTGGAGAACTCAATGCTGCATCAAGGAAAATACTGATCTAATAGAAATATCTTTTGAGAACAGTTGTTATGAGAAATAACAAAAGAAAAAAATCAGTAAAAACTACGTCATTTTCTGTACTTGCATTATTGAAGATCTTCGTAGTATTCTTGATTGTTCTTCAACTGAGCACATATGAAACAAAAAGATAAGTTCATAGGAAGATAGAGCGTTTCAAGCGCTATCAGAATGTGGACTCACTTCGGAAAAAATCGTCTGATTAGAGTTAAAAAGTTGATCCGAAGCAAAAAAATAGGAGGAAAAACTTTCCTCGGTGGAAATCTGATCATGAGGGCGCCTTCATTGCACACGACTTTTCGCCAAGAGATTAGACCATTGTCGAAAAACAAAATGTACAGAGTTGTAAAAACTCCACGGGCTTTCAGAATATGGGTCTATTTGCTTGAAAAGATCGATTTTGCGTAGAGCTATATTCGAAATACCGTATTATTTCCAGGAGTATATATTCTCAGTGTGGTTGGTCCGTTCTTGGCAGATGGTAAAACAACGACACATCAGTCGCCAGAAACTTCTTCATCAACAACGAATAAGATATTGTGGACTAACTGAAAGATGATGATGTTGTCGTCGTTGCTCGAGGATTTCGAGACACTGTGCATACGCTGAATCGCTTTCGTTTAAACGTTCGGATGCCCGATTTTCGGAACTGACTGAAACAACTATCCTGCGAAGAAGCCAACCAGTCTCGCTGTGTTGCCACGGTTCGATGGATTATCGAAAGTGGTATGTTTATGACCCATTCCTCATTTTGGAACATCAGGTTCGGCCTCAGACCATCGACTATGTGGATGGACAGAAATGGGCGGAACAGATGCTGAAACTTCTTGATAGAGGGAATCAGTTGCAGAAACGCCTAGAACTCAAAAAAAGCCGCAATGGAAGAAATATAGTGCGAACATGGTGATTTTTCCCGAACTGTCTGAAGAGGATGTTCGCAACATCTGCTTCGATGAGTATTGATTTCGTGCTCAGACGACGAATGTCACTCTTATGAAATGCAGGCGAAGGGTCTTATAACCGAACATTTTAGACCATCTGTTCTGCATGAAAACCTCTTTCGAGTTCGCTTCGCATCACGACACTCAAGTAGCAAAAATTATTTTGCAACTGTCCAATTCGATAACAAGGATGAAGAAGCGCCGATCCAAGGATGGTACTGCACTTGCTCGTCTGGTAGTCGCGTGATCGGTTGCTGTGCTCATATCACAGTACTTCATTAACATCTTGGTGTCTGCCGCGGAGAGATTGATCCTGAAGTGCATCTGCTATCCGCGGATCATTCGTTACTCTCTGTCGCCGACTGTATTAAATACCCCGACACTGAGCAGAGCAGCGACGACGACAGCGATACCGACGAGAAGTAAACCACTTCACTATTCTTCACGTGCTATAACACTCATATCTCATTTAATAAACGTTCAACTTTCTTTCCGCTTTTCCAGAAGATAGCCGAGTCAAACATAGACATCACCTGCGACGCTCGCTATGCCACTCACCTAGTCTATCGTAAACTCCGTCAACGAGACAGTCATACTAGTTCCCGCTACTAACGTCTTTTATCCTACTCTCTTCTACACCCTTAGGAAACACGGACTCTTTTTGGCCAAGAAATTCAAGACTCGTTGTCCACCAGAGGTTGTAGCCCGTGAAAAACTCCATCGCCCGGGACTATGGAGAGTTTTTCATCCGCCCGTGTTAGGAGTGTTAGAGGGTCCAAAAGGTCGAAAGTACCCAAAAATGGGCCCTTTTCGTGTCCCCTGGCACGGGAAAAAAGATGTGCTTAGGTAGGTCAATATTGGCACCAAAAGATTCGCAGTTTAATTCGGTATAAGAATTAATGAAACCCAGGCCTCTGATGGGAACTTTTGATCGTGGGCCGAATCACGATCTTATGCGCCCCCGTTCTTTGTACTCGAGAGTTCAAATTTGAGAGCAAGGATCGCTCCAGTGCAAATGATATAAGATAAGATTGCAATAACGATGTCATTGGGCATATCTCCGAATAATATAGAACCATTTTGATTTTGTTGCTTACTGACCATGGTACACACCGCATCTAAATTTTACTTGCAAAACGTTGTGTAAGATATAAGACATGACTCATCGCTAAATTCTCATCTAAAAAAGACATAAACTTGAAACTGATGATAAGAGATAAGATTCTTGGTTACTGAAACTCACCTTCATACACATGAAGAGCAATATTTGAATTATTGTCGTTAAAATGTTAACAACTCCTCTATTGTTGCTTTGTGTTGCTACTTGTTTATCGCCTACGGCATCGGTTACAGATCGTTCCAAAGCAAATTTGCAACCTCAAGTGAAACTTAGAACATGGGAACAAGCTATTGCCATGGCCAAATCATTTATTGGTCAACTGACGCTACAAGAAAAATGCCATTTGACAGCAGGTGTCAGTGGGACGTGTGCTGGCAATATTGCATCGTTACCACGTGTCAATTTTAGTGGCTTCTGCCTTCTAGATACACCGTCAGGTGTTGGTGATGGTGTTTTATATTCAACTGCATTTGTAAGTGGCATTCATATAGCAGGGACATGGGATCGAGATTTGTTTTATCGACGTGCTGTCGCAATCGGAAAAGAATTTCGAGGCAAAGGTGTCCATTATGCACTTGGCCCTATGGTGAATATAGATCGAAATGCTCGGCATGGCCGTAACTGGGAAGGATTTGGCTCGGACCCATATCTTTCAGGTGAAAATGCATTTTTCTATACTCAAGGTGTTCAAGATCAAGGTGTTGTTACAACAGCAAAGCATTATATCTGCAATGAGCAGGACACGCATCGCAGTGGTGTCATGAAAGGTGCTAATGATGCTGTAGTTTACTCAGCCAATCTTGATGATAAAACTATGCATGAAATTTATCTTTGGCCATTTGCATCAAGCGTTGTTGCTGGAGCAGGTTCTATCATGTGTTCGGCCAATGAAATTAATGATACACGAGCTTGTCAAAATAATCAAACGCAAAATGGTTTGTTGAAAGGAGAGTTAGGATATATGGGCAATATATTGACGGATTGGATGGGATCAAAATCAACCGTCGATCCAGTTTTGTCAGGATTAGATATTGATATGCCGGGTAACGATGGATATATGGGTGATACTTTAGTAGCATTTGTTCAAAATGGAAGTATTCCTGAATCAAGAATTGATGATATGGCTACACGCATTATCGCACCTTACTATCTCGTTGGACAAGATCAAGATTATCCAACACTTGATCTTGACCGTGATGCCATGGAAAATAACTATCTAGTTAATCGAGAAGCCAGTCGTGCTGGTATGATATTACTAAAGAATGTCAACAATATATTACCATTAAATTCTTCCATCAATACAAACATTTATATCTATGGACAAGCAGCTGGTCAAACGAATTGTGGTCTTGAACAAACGTCATGGAATGCAAATTGTGGAGGTGCATTGTATCAGGGTGGTGGTTCAGGTTTTGTTCGACCAGCCTATGCTCTAGATCCTCTCACTGCACTGATGCAAAAAGGTCGAGATGATCGTCTTCAAATTCGATATATTGCCAATCAAAACGATTTTATTTCCATTAATCGCACATTCAGCGATCGTGGTTTTCAAAATGCTAAATGTCTTGTATTTATTAGTGCTTGGTCGGAAGAAGGAATAGATCGAACCGACCTATATGCTTTTGCTAATGGTGAACAACTCGTTCTAACTGTTGCTCAAAATTGTCGTCAAACTATTGTCCTTGTCAACAGTGTCTCACAACTGAATCTTGAACGATGGGTTGATCATCCAAATGTCGTTGGTGTTCTTTGGACTGGTATGCCTGGCTCTGAATATGGACCTGCTCTTGTCGATATTCTCTTTGGTAATTATAATCCAGGTGAAAACTGGTCTTCTCACTAGCCAAAAATGATTCCGACTTTGGAACTGATATTAGCCCAGTAGGTGACTCAAATTATACAGAGGGTGTCTTCTTAGATTATCGTCATTTTGATAAATATAATATTACGCCAAGGTATTATTTTGGATATGGTCTTTCATATACTAGTTTCTCGTTTGGTAAACTTGAAATTTCACAAGCAAACGATGATGATAAAAACTCTCCAGCGTCATTATATAAACAACGTCGAATGAGACCGTACAATAATTTTAGTGACTCAGGATTATATGATCCTGTTTATACAATTAAATGTACAGTTAAAAATACTGGGAACTACTATGGATCCGAAGTAGCACAATTATATCTCGGTTTTCCTGTTCAAGCACAAGAACCACCGAAAATACTACGAGGATTTGAGCGCGTCTATTTAGAACCCAATGAATCAAGAGAAGTTGCATTAGTTTTGACACGAAAAGATGTCTCTTACTGGAATGTAGTCAATCAACAATGGTCAGTGGCTTCAGGCACATATACAGTATGGATATCAACGTGTTCGATATATTGCGACACTACGGCGTACTCAGCAAAATGGTCTGAGCTATTCCAACCATCTACAAGAACTCGAGAAACCAAGTACTGGTTGAAGGGAAGTTGTCAGAAGAACTCGACGTCACAACTGGTGTCCTGCAAGGCGATACACTAGCCCCCTATCTATTCATCATCGTCATCGACTATGTACTCAAAAATGCCGAGCTTGAACACTCTGCGAACGGCTCCAACGGATTTGTGACCAATCCGAGAAGATCGTCGAGAAAACCAGTAACATCAATATTCAATCTAGACTTTGCCGACGACATTGGTCAAGCGTGGGATGCTTTCTGGAAAATGAAAGATATATTTCGATCAAAAAGCCTGCCGATCAAGCTCAAGACCAACATGTCCCAAGCAGCATGTCTCTCAATACTTTTGTACGGCTGTGAGAGCTGGGTCATTACAGATAAGCTTGAGAGAAGCCTAAACAGTTACGCGACCAACTGCTACAGAATCATGCTTAACATCAAACGCTTGGATAAGAAACGGAACGACGAGATATACAAGATAATCGGCCTTGACAGTATACCAACATTTGGGCGCGCGAAATTTGTGGGTCGATATTTGGGCACGCACGACATTTGAGCGCAACGGTAGTTGAAGTTCAAGACGCCGATGTGGGTGTGGGTGAGTGTGAGTGTGAGTATCGATGAAGATTAAAGAAACGGTGGTTACAGTTGGATGTGAGTAATATAGAAAAAGCTCTCACAGCATAAAAAGTTTGTTTAAAGAGAATTTTATCATTTTGCAGCATACTTTAACGAATGCACTACTTCTGTTTGCTTTTGTCCTAGATGTGCCCAATGTCGTTGCGCCCAAATGTCGCTGCGCCCGAATGTCTGGTAATCAGCCTTGACTCCCTTGCTCTATAAATTCAGCGCAGACAATTCAGATTCGTCGGGCATTGTCTTACAAAAAATGAGAACGACTTAATCAACAAGTACGTTCTCTATACACCCGAAGCAAATCACGGGAAAAGAGGCAGAGGCAAGCCACGGATGTTGCACACTACGTACATAGGCTAGTTCATCAACAGCTGACGAAATACGAAGAGCAGCACAAGATCGCAAAGAATGGAAGAAAATTGTAGCCGCCTGTAAGCCAACCTTGTTTGCGGTCGATTAATGATGAATGATATTTCCGATTTTGAAACATACTATTTTGTAAAGTAGTTAAAATGGGTTGTACCACGTTTGATGTATATTGTTTGGTGATTCACTCTCAGCCACTATGCTTCTTCTTATGTTTCATTGAATCATGATCTAATTAAACAATTGTTTGAAAATCATGAGGATTTAAAGTTGGAAATTATCCAAAATAGACACTTTCTTTTACAATAGAAAAACACAATTCAATATACCAGCCGGGGACTGTTTATGTAGGACACAAAATAAATAAGAACTCAGAAAAGAATCAAAGACTGGAATAAAAAAATAAAACAAAATCCTTTTCGTAGAATAATTCAAGTGTAGTCTGAAAATAAACAGCTGATATTTTTCTGCATTTGTCTCGCCAACTTTCTACGAAAGTACATCGAGGCTCCAAAAGAAAAAATTATTAGTGTCAAAAATTGTCAAAAAGAAACCTGTTCTCATTAGAGTCCTCAAAAAACCTTTTGCTTATGTTTCAAGAGGATATTTTGATGATTATTTAAATTGCTATTTACTTATTGAAAAGTATAAATACTTTACCGGCTGCTTTGATGAAGACCACTTTTACCATGATACTGTGCTAATTTTTTCTCTTAGAATATTGATGTACTTTCATAGCAAGTTGGCGAGACAAAAGCAAAAAAATATTCAATGTACACATCTTATGTCAGCTGTTTATTCTCAGATTATACTTAAATTATTCCACGAAAAGGATTTTGGTTTATTCCAGTCTTTTATTCTCTTCTGAGTTCTTATTTATTTTGTCTGCTTCATGGACAGTCCCCTTCTGGTATATTGACATGTACGTCATGTGAAAGCTCCTTTTACGTCATATGTGAAAGGAACACCCGTAGCGATAAACTATATCACACAAGTGGAAGGAAACATAAATAGTTTGTGCATATAAAACCGCACATTTGAAGAATAATTTTCAGTACAGCATTATACAATACTTTGTATAATCAACCATGTCTGGTGAGTAAAAGAATTTTACGCAAATCCTAAAACCCCAAGACTCTCAGAAAACTAATCAAATCAGGAAAATCTAAGTTTACAGCGTGATAAGTTCGTCTACATCAAGAATGAAAGCGATTATAGTCTCTCGAAAACGTAAAAATAACGTTGCGCAGACATAAAAGTTTTAATTCTCTTTCAATTTTAGATCAGTTTGATCCTGAGAATGATGATCGTAAGTTGATTTTAATTGAATTAATCTTAAATAAGTAGTGTGAATAATAAATAAAAGTGAATCGACTTGAGTAAAGTGTCAAACGTATACGAATAGCCACCGTATTTTTTCCTTCTATAGAAGTGATGAATGAAATACTTTTTAGGTAACGCAATGGAATTAATTAAGAATGGGGTATGTTTCTAATAAAAATAGCTTCTTACGCTACCTATATATTTACAAATCGATACAATTGCTTTTTCTTGAAAGGATCTTAACTACCGTTGTTGGCAAAATTCCGCTTGCTTCTGTCATACAAACTGTAAATCAGGGATCTTCTTTATTCAGGATTTCTTCCTACCACTATTGAAATCTAATACTTACTCAGCTTGTGTTAAAATCTTTCAAACCTTCTACGATTATCTTGTTGGGGAATAGTTCCATTATTATTTCTGTTTAATTTAGTCTGGACCATCAGTTATGGTTGTATACTATCCTAACAACAGTGGTCAACAAAGCGCCTGATCAATCATATCTATGTTTTACCAATCTGCACGATCGCTTTCGTAACTCAAGGATCCTGCGCAACCAAGACCTTTTATTTTTTTTAATTGTGAAATACTTATTCACTTGTTTAACAATAATTATTTTTATTTGTTTATAATAACTCCGTGGAAATGTTCAGAATTGAATTTAATAAAACTGAACAACAGACTTTACCTTAGAAAAGTTTGCAAAATTTTACTCAAAAATTCTGGATTATTGATCAAAATTAAAAGCATAGAGAAGATTTTAGGATTTTGACCTAAAATTGTGTCCATTTGATGTCTATATCGTTATCTTATTGTTTGGATATCATTTGTCATTTCATTCTTTGAAAGCACGAGCATGAAACGGTGATGAATACCCATCAAAACTAGGTCGCACATTATCAAATTGCTCAGTGACTGTTAAACGTCAGTGAGTTGAGCTTGATCCAATTAGTTTTGATATAATTACAGAAAATTTGATTTAACTGATAAAAAACATATATTTTACGTGTCGGAAATTCGAAAATTCAGCAGATTTCTATTTTTGCATTTTTTTTGCGCGTTGTAATGAGATGAATTTATAGCGTTGTAATACCATAATTTAAGAAAAAGCATGTTTCATGGCGTTATAACGCTATAAATAGGGAAAAATAGATCCCATTGGTTGAAACCGTTAACAATCTTGCTGTTAAGCATAAAGAACGATAGATTTCGAATGTTTATTTTTGAAAACGAGAAAAAAGTTTGAATTTTTCGTAAACTTTTTTAAAAAGCGGAGCAACCCAGGATCGGATTCGACCTTGCTCAAGGATCTCTTCAGTTGGATTATAGTATAAAACATGGTAAAATGAATGTACGTAGTTACGTGTCGTTGTTGGTCGAATAATAACAAGTTATCTTGTTTAAATAAGAAGTTATGTTCTTCTTATTAAAAAAGAAGGAAATAAAGCACTTGTTAGCCTGCTTTTCTCGAAAAAGACGCAAATTCTTCTTGAACAAGAAATTCCGACAAGATAAAAAGGAGAGAGAACACTTGATTATTCCTGGAGCTGTCAGGTGGAGATTTCAGTCGAAATTTTGTTTTTTGAATCGAACTGGTGCCACATTTCACACTTGAAAAAGGATTCGAAACCGGTCGTGTGATTTTTTTGTACCTCATTTTTGTTATATCTACTATATCTTGAGATTTTAATTAAAATACAAGTAAAAATTGGCGCTTTCTCTGGCACACACTGCAGCATACTTTCTTGAAACAGTTTTGGCATACAAAAATTATTAAAACGGATATTCTTTATCTTCTCGAATGTTATTCAGCTAAAAACTATCAAATAATTGAAAAACTCTTTAGAACTAAATCGGCACAGAATGACCCGTTTAAAAGATTCTTGATATTCCTTTTGTACGGGACGCTAAGCTCAGTCGCCATAAGATAGTACAATTTCTAAATTAAAACACTGAAACTTCAACGTTGAGAAAAGTTTGCTTTACTTTCTTCCAGCTATTTTTGCTGTACTGTCCAGATTATTCCAAATGGGGGAAGTATGGACACTTGATAGAAACCCTCTGAAAATTGATGAGTACTAAGTAGCCTCAATGAATTTTTTACATTAGTAGATAGGGGCTAAAATTCGCCAGCTAAAACTGACGTAATTATGGCAGAGAAAGCGATCTGTCAAGAACTAATCCATTGGATTCTAAGTGATATGCAGAGTCACAACTGTATGGATGTGTCATTGGTAGAATTTGGAAATTCAAGGTTCTTGTTATTATCATATATCAGCTGCTAAGCGTAGAATAATATTTCTTCTTTTTCTCACCCTAGGAAAAAGTAGAAACTTTATTATTATTATACAACACCAACAATGTACTCATTTAGCAACTTCGGGCTAGAAACAGTTAACCGATATTGTTATTAAAAATTTCAAAATAAAACACAATCCATTGTTCGCTGACGAAATTTGATAGAAACCAGCAGCTTTCATCAATCGAAAGAAGCGACCTCGGACTATACTTTATAATCAAGGTTTTATGCGACTAGAAAGTCGAGATCTGTACGAGCAAGACTTTTCTGCCAGTACCCGTCCATAACCATAGACCTTTCTGCAATTTTTGTCCGTGCTATTTCGGCTGCCACTGTCTGTTGATGCCTGTGGATAAAAATCTGTAGTAGGACAAAAAATCATGTTTTAACCACAGATATTTCTTCTCTTTTCCGAAAAAAATAAATTCTCTTGCATATCCAACGAAAATTTTCTCATCCGTATATCATGCTATTTCATTGACATGTCTTGCACTAGCTGTACTTCATGCACAAATAATTCATATTTCGAATTTATTTGTCACTTAAATGGTTTTCAGAAACCCGCGCTCGCCGGAGAGAACGGTTGTCCATCAATGCCCGTCAGTTATCCTTCCAAGCCTGGTCGTGATAGTCCATGCCCGCACGCGGCACGGACGTGTCTGCGGCCACGAAAATTCCCATGTCCGTGTACAACTCAACTAGCAACTGTAGTTCCACTATACTGTTATAAACCGTACATTCATAGCAAGTTGGCGAGACAAAAGCAAAAAAATATTCAATGTACACATCTTATGTCAGCTGTTTATTCTCAGATTATACTTAAATTATTCCACGAAAAGGATTTTGGTTTATTCCAGTCTTTTATTCTCTTCTGAGTTCTTATTTATTTTGTCTGCTTCATGGACAGTCCCCTTCTGGTATATTGACATGTACGTCATGTGAAAGCTCCTTTTACGTCATATGTGAAAGGAACACCCGTAGCGATAAACTATATCACACAAGTGGAAGGAAACATAAATAGTTTGTGCATATAAAACCGCACATTTGAAGAATAATTTTCAGTACAGCATTATACAATACTTTGTATAATCAACCATGTCTGGTGAGTAAAAGAATTTTACGCAAATCCTAAAACCCCAAGACTCTCAGAAAACTAATCAAATCAGGAAAATCTAAGTTTACAGCGTGATAAGTTCGTCTACATCAAGAATGAAAGCGATTATAGTCTCTCGAAAACGTAAAAATAACGTTGCGCAGACATAAAAGTTTTAATTCTCTTTCAATTTTAGATCAGTTTGATCCTGAGAATGATGATCGTAAGTTGATTTTAATTGAATTAATCTTAAATAAGTAGTGTGAATAATAAATAAAAGTGAATCGACTTGAGTAAAGTGTCAAACGTATACGAATAGCCACCGTATTTTTTCCTTCTATAGAAGTGATGAATGAAATACTTTTTAGGTAACGCAATGGAATTAATTAAGAATGGGGTATGTTTCTAATAAAAATAGCTTCTTACGCTACCTATATATTTACAAATCGATACAATTGCTTTTTCTTGAAAGGATCTTAACTACCGTTGTTGGCAAAATTCCGCTTGCTTCTGTCATACAAACTGTAAATCAGGGATCTTCTTTATTCAGGATTTCTTCCTACCACTATTGAAATCTAATACTTACTCAGCTTGTGTTAAAATCTTTCAAACCTTCTACGATTATCTTGTTGGGGAATAGTTCCATTATTATTTCTGTTTAATTTAGTCTGGACCATCAGTTATGGTTGTATACTATCCTAACAACAGTGGTCAACAAAGCGCCTGATCAATCATATCTATGTTTTACCAATCTGCACGATCGCTTTCGTAACTCAAGGATCCTGCGCAACCAAGACCTTTTATTTTTTTTAATTGTGAAATACTTATTCACTTGTTTAACAATAATTATTTTTATTTGTTTATAATAACTCCGTGGAAATGTTCAGAATTGAATTTAATAAAACTGAACAACAGACTTTACCTTAGAAAAGTTTGCAAAATTTTACTCAAAAATTCTGGATTATTGATCAAAATTAAAAGCATAGAGAAGATTTTAGGATTTTGACCTAAAATTGTGTCCATTTGATGTCTATATCGTTATCTTATTGTTTGGATATCATTTGTCATTTCATTCTTTGAAAGCACGAGCATGAAACGGTGATGAATACCCATCAAAACTAGGTCGCACATTATCAAATTGCTCAGTGACTGTTAAACGTCAGTGAGTTGAGCTTGATCCAATTAGTTTTGATATAATTACAGAAAATTTGATTTAACTGATAAAAAACATATATTTTACGTGTCGGAAATTCGAAAATTCAGCAGATTTCTATTTTTGCATTTTTTTTGCGCGTTGTAATGAGATGAATTTATAGCGTTGTAATACCATAATTTAAGAAAAAGCATGTTTCATGGCGTTATAACGCTATAAATAGGGAAAAATAGATCCCATTGGTTGAAACCGTTAACAATCTTGCTGTTAAGCATAAAGAACGATAGATTTCGAATGTTTATTTTTGAAAACGAGAAAAAAGTTTGAATTTTTCGTAAACTTTTTTAAAAAGCGGAGCAACCCAGGATCGGATTCGACCTTGCTCAAGGATCTCTTCAGTTGGATTATAGTATAAAACATGGTAAAATGAATGTACGTAGTTACGTGTCGTTGTTGGTCGAATAATAACAAGTTATCTTGTTTAAATAAGAAGTTATGTTCTTCTTATTAAAAAAGAAGGAAATAAAGCACTTGTTAGCCTGCTTTTCTCGAAAAAGACGCAAATTCTTCTTGAACAAGAAATTCCGACAAGATAAAAAGGAGAGAGAACACTTGATTATTCCTGGAGCTGTCAGGTGGAGATTTCAGTCGAAATTTTGTTTTTTGAATCGAACTGGTGCCACATTTCACACTTGAAAAAGGATTCGAAACCGGTCGTGTGATTTTTTTGTACCTCATTTTTGTTATATCTACTATATCTTGAGATTTTAATTAAAATACAAGTAAAAATTGGCGCTTTCTCTGGCACACACTGCAGCATACTTTCTTGAAACAGTTTTGGCATACAAAAATTATTAAAACGGATATTCTTTATCTTCTCGAATGTTATTCAGCTAAAAACTATCAAATAATTGAAAAACTCTTTAGAACTAAATCGGCACAGAATGACCCGTTTAAAAGATTCTTGATATTCCTTTTGTACGGGACGCTAAGCTCAGTCGCCATAAGATAGTACAATTTCTAAATTAAAACACTGAAACTTCAACGTTGAGAAAAGTTTGCTTTACTTTCTTCCAGCTATTTTTGCTGTACTGTCCAGATTATTCCAAATGGGGGAAGTATGGACACTTGATAGAAACCCTCTGAAAATTGATGAGTACTAAGTAGCCTCAATGAATTTTTTACATTAGTAGATAGGGGCTAAAATTCGCCAGCTAAAACTGACGTAATTATGGCAGAGAAAGCGATCTGTCAAGAACTAATCCATTGGATTCTAAGTGATATGCAGAGTCACAACTGTATGGATGTGTCATTGGTAGAATTTGGAAATTCAAGGTTCTTGTTATTATCATATATCAGCTGCTAAGCGTAGAATAATATTTCTTCTTTTTCTCACCCTAGGAAAAAGTAGAAACTTTATTATTATTATACAACACCAACAATGTACTCATTTAGCAACTTCGGGCTAGAAACAGTTAACCGATATTGTTATTAAAAATTTCAAAATAAAACACAATCCATTGTTCGCTGACGAAATTTGATAGAAACCAGCAGCTTTCATCAATCGAAAGAAGCGACCTCGGACTATACTTTATAATCAAGGTTTTATGCGACTAGAAAGTCGAGATCTGTACGAGCAAGACTTTTCTGCCAGTACCCGTCCATAACCATAGACCTTTCTGCAATTTTTGTCCGTGCTATTTCGGCTGCCACTGTCTGTTGATGCCTGTGGATAAAAATCTGTAGTAGGACAAAAAATCATGTTTTAACCACAGATATTTCTTCTCTTTTCCGAAAAAAATAAATTCTCTTGCATATCCAACGAAAATTTTCTCATCCGTATATCATGCTATTTCATTGACATGTCTTGCACTAGCTGTACTTCATGCACAAATAATTCATATTTCGAATTTATTTGTCACTTAAATGGTTTTCAGAAACCCGCGCTCGCCGGAGAGAACGGTTGTCCATCAATGCCCGTCAGTTATCCTTCCAAGCCTGGTCGTGATAGTCCATGCCCGCACGCGGCACGGACGTGTCTGCGGCCACGAAAATTCCCATGTCCGTGTACAACTCAACTAGCAACTGTAGTTCCACTATACTGTTATAAACCGCCTTTTATATGAGAGTTTTAGCATAGAAATTAGAAAATTCTGTGTAATTAGATTGCCGAGGATTTAAGTTACAATACTTTATCGCAATGTGTGAAATCATATGATATGTAACCCCTTTCTAATTACTAAATCAGTTACTCTTTTTGAGAAAAATTATATGAGCTTTTATATCTGCCTGCACGCAAAATATAATTAGAAAACAATCACTAACACACAGTTGAAGCTTTATACTTTTATTGATAATAAGAATTAGCATGAATGTCGTTTGAATGATTATGCAAGAACCTTGCTTTATTATGATGAAAAAACTTACTATTTCGCAAAAAAAACATAAGCATCATTATGTACAATATGTCAAATGTATATTACTCACGTTTTCGTTCACGCATCAATGACCATATGTTCTGCTTGTGTGTAGTTTTTTTCGACATATAACACTCTAAAGCAGAAAAGGTATGACTTAAATTACAATGCTGCAAAGTAAGACACTATCGTACCCTAAATGCTCCCTGTCAGCTTCCTCTCCTGTACTACCCTGTTGCCGGCCGGTTCCGGCCTCCGAATACGATAAGTGGTTTAGACAGCCTTAAACGCCAAATTTCAGCAATTTCAAGTGACCGTTTCCCGACACAACCAGAATAGACTACGGCATCCAGCGCTGGAACTGAGCGGAAAAGGGTCGGAATGCAGCTGGATAATTAGTAAGTCTCACAGTACATATCTTCGTGCTGTTCTTCATTCAACAAATATTTTGTACTCTCAGACATACGATAAGAGTTCTCTTAGTATCAGGTAGAATCAAGAAGATATTCTACTGAATCTATGTGGAGTCTTGAGATGCCCTATCACTCATACTTAAATTTATGCTTTCTGCAAGACTGCACTATTTTACGTTCTTTTGAGCCTACTCTGCAGTTCGCTTGAGTCAGTGTTTAACTGATAACGCATCTCCCAATGGACTTATGTCAAACTACATCTGGCTTCCTTTTTCTTAGAAAACGTTGGATACTCTTCAGATGGAAAAGTAAAACCTTATGTTAAATAGACCACACAAATTCTGAACAAAAAACGGACTTCGAGCCACAACCAGCCAGACACCGTCTGTGCAGCTTGATGCTACTTTAAGGTATTTACCATTACTAGATTATGATGAAGAAAGACTATCAGCCAAAAGTTGTTGCAAATCCGATTATCTGCTCCAACAGGAGCGATTTAATACGGGCGGAAACAAAGACGGTAGAAATCCGGCACGGATTCCGCTTGTAAAGATCCTGCGCACTTCCGTCCGGTTTCCGTATTAATCTGCGCCGTTACCGGTCGGAAATGTACCAAATCAGCGTCGAAAAAGACCGCTTCCTGCGTACATTGCCAAAATCTCCTGAAAACATAATTCTTTCGACGGAAAATAACGGTTGAAAGAAACATCAGAGACCCATAAGCACTTCGTTTATTCCCTTTTGAATACGCAATCATCGTCCTTGACTTGCTTTCACGGCGTAGCTATGATTTTCAAAGGTCTCATTCGATATCCACGGTTTGCCAGCCGGTATGTCGATCTTTATCCTGGCGAATTTCAAATTGCTCCGCAAGTCTGCTTTTCTTTCGCATGTGAATATAATAACTCACTCATTCCTTACATTACAAAATTTTTCTTCATCTTCCAAGAGTAGAGTAGGCAGACTCCTGCTGTAATCCGCCTTCATTCGGTATGTCTTTCCTATATTTCTAGATGTCTAGCGAAGCACAAATTCCCATTTTTAAAGACCCACCACCACCGTATATTCAAAATGTAGAGGAAATACCCGCACCATCGGGAGGACAACAACAACAACAACAGCAACAACAGCAACAACAACCACAACAAATCTACACCCCACCAAAATTTCGTGATGTACCAGTTGAAGCCCGATGCCCAAACTGTGGTTACACTGGAGCCACACGAGTTAAATATGTTAGCGGTCTTCTTGTTTGGCTAGCTGTGCTGGTATTAGTTTTGTTTGGATTTATTTTGGGTTGCTGTCTCATACCATTTTGTGTGAAAGCTATGAAAGACACGAAACATCTTTGTACGAATTGTGGAACAACTCTTGGCTCTTATAAAAAGTTAGAAAGTGCGTTTAAATAGAAAAACCTTTAAACTTATGTCACGTTCTTTTAAAGATAACTATCTACATATCCGACCGTATTGGTTGTATTTTAAAATTAAAGTGCGAATTTTAAAATCTTAGATTTCTTTATTTTTTCAAAGTCTCTTTATCATTGGATAAAAGACGGTTTATTCTTCCAGATCATCCTTCCAGAACTTTAAATGGTGCTTTGTCTGATAGTACAAGTTCGAATGTTTCCTTCATATAGGGAAAACGCTACCCTATAGGCAAAATTTCCTTACGAATCCAAAGACATCTAATTTCTCACTTTTTATTTTGATATCAGACTTCAGGGAGGACTACCTTTGGGCAAAAGATCATCAAAAAATAGAGCTCTTCACCTGAAGAGGTTCCCTCGTTAGCCGGTCAAAATTGTGAATGCTAATCTTGCCTAGGCGTATTCAGAAGTCGTCGGCTATATTCCAATCTTAACTCCAACATATATACAAAAATGTTTTTTCTGCTGTGGATGATGCGAGAGTACGAAATCAGTGAACGAGACTTTGGACATTTTTATTGTTAGCAAGAAATCAATACTTTTAGAGAACGAGAGTCACTTCCAAGGATTATTAGCTCTTCTATGATATTGTTACTTATAACTCATCTAAACTTTTACCACGTACACAACTAAAGATTTTCTATAAAATAAACGTAGACTCATCTCAGGTAATTACTTAATCAATGAGTACTGACTATCTTAATTAATATCTTAATAATTAAACATGCCAGAATACAAGGTTGATGGTTGCTTTTCAAATAACTGAAAGATGGTAAATGATAGAGGCTTGCGGTATTTAGCAATCGAAAAAGGACAGCTTAGCCTATGTTTTTGTAAGCAAAACCGTTTTCCAAAAGGATTCGAACGACCGGTTTTCTACGGGGTCTCTAGAAAACCAGTTCGACACACCGGTAACTGAGATAGAAATCTATCAGTTATTTCATAGACATATAGTCCAAACTGTCATCTTCGAAATGAGAATTAAGTAAACTCTTAATTCTTCCTGATTCAGGCGTGGCATAGTATTTCCCGTGAGCCCCAGAATCAATATTTCATTAGGCGTGGTAATTCTGAAAATGAATGGAAACATAGGTTTTCGGCCACCTCAATCTTGTACTAGCATTTGTTTTTCAAAAAAGTTTCAAAAACCTGATGAAAACCTATATTAGGTAAAATATCGTATTTTTGCCTATTTTAGAGTAAAATTTAAAAATTCATAAGCTAGTCAGGATCTATCAAAATTATGCCACAATTAACTCTTTATTATGTGCTCAACACTATAAGTTCAACAAACGCTTTAAAAATCAACGAAAAACGCTTTGATTTTTGAAAATATTTTCTAAAAATCTTCCGAAGTACACAAAAGTTACTATTCTCAAGTAAGAAATCGTACTGAACCGAACTGGTTTTTCCAGAGATCCCATAGAAAATCGGTCGTTCGAATCCTTTTGGAAAACGGTTTTGCTTACAAAAACATAGGCTAAGCTGTTAATCCAATCACCCTAAAAGAAGTAACTGAAGCGGTAAAACAACTTAAAAACGGAAAATCTCCCGGCTTCGACTTCTCAATAACACCAGAAGCTCTGAAATATGGTGGCATATGGGTCAAAAATCGACTATGTGACATCTGCAACGACATTTTTGAAAATAACCA